GGAGCATGAACGTTTACAGTGCTTTCATATTCTGTGGATTTTAATAAGCACAGACCTAATAAAGGACTAAAACTAGTAAGAAACAGATCCCATAGTAAAAAACACTAAATTAAAGTGCTCCATTGTTTATTCCTAAATGGCTTTTAAAAAAAAAATACAACAGCTTTCTAATATCTTACATTACAATAACGCAAGACTGGATATACAGCTTTTCAGACAGCTTGAAAGCAGAGTACGCAAACACCAATTTAAAAAAAATATATTTTCCCTGTCTCTCTTTATCTGTTTTCACATTATTCTTTGTGATTTTTAGCCCATTCATTCTAATTCCGTAAATACTGTCCAAGTCTCCCTGATTAAATTTTACTGGATGAGGGCATATCCGTGGGCTCTGACCTTGATTAGAAAGAACTGTTCTCACAATGCACTTTTGTATGCAGAGTAAAAGGAACGTCTTCTTTCCGTCTAATTATTGAATGTAATTGACAGCAGGAAAAGCAAAAGAAAAACTCTGCAGGTATTTCACAGGGATGGAACCCAAGGCTTGTAAAAAGGTTAACTTCTCCAGATGAAGTGCCACGGCAAAATCTGACTTCACGAGCTGCAGCCAGCAAAACTGTTTTCAATGTTCCTTTCTGGAACATTTGTAATTGATAAATTGGTCAAATGTTCCACCTAGATTTCAACTCAAAATCTTTCCTTAGTAATGTGCATATTTATTATTATATTTATTATGCACATTATTATTTTGTTAGCAAAACAATGTGTTGTAGCCTGCAAGTCCCAAAAACTACTCTTTAAAAATCTTTTAAACTAATTATCCTTTGGTATGAGCTGCACTCCTTATAAAGGCCATAAATAATAATGATAATTTATTAGCAAAGTGCATCCTGACTGAAATGTACATCAGGATCCTGTGGTAGCTCTGACACTTGTCAAAACCTCCTGTGAAAAATAATGAAGCAATATTACTTTCAGATCCTTTGGTAATTTACTGGCTTGACATAAAATTTCCACAAACTGTGCAGAACTCTGGTAATATTTCAAGAAAAGTAGACTGCTTCACACAGCAGGGGTCATGAATAAACAGTACACTCTATATATAGTTTTTTTTCCCCACACAAGAAAGTATTTGATTACCTGCATAAAATGTCTAATTATGTCTTGGTTTCTCTTGCCTTCTTCTAAAGATACAAACCTTTTCTGCTCCAGACTTTCTTTCTCACTTACACCTCTGAGCTAATGTGCCATTAACACTGGGTGAGACTCACTTTGTTCTCGTGAATCATTGCAATGGATCACTATTCAGTAAAAACACTTTAATGTGGTTTAATGTGGTTTGAGGCAGAAGTCTGCAGGAGTTGTCGGACCTCTGCAATTGTAACTAGAATGTTGTGGGCCAAACACTGGGCACTGGAGGTAAGGTACTTTGCCCTAGAAAAATGCCCAGCTGTATAAACAAGTACAAATAAAAGTTTTGGACAAAGCCTCAGCCAATTGAATTAATAATACATGTTGACAACTGCCAATGAACGGAGCTTGATGTTTCGTGAGACCAATTAAAATGCAGCAAAGAATATGTGTATGCTGTATTGCTTTAGATGCTTTTGTTGAATATGAAATTAATTTCCGTGCCATCTCTGTGAATTAAACATGAAATCCTGGCACTAATTATACCTGAGCTGCACACATTTAATATTCTGGAAACTTGTGCATTAATTTGTTTGCAAACAGCTGCATTAACTATGCAGGGGAATGGTTGGAAGGGACAAGCTGCAGATGCCAGCTGTTGAATACAACAGCTCTTTGACCAGGGCCTCTGCTTCCATCACTACATCCAGGTGTCTACAACATTCTGAGTACCGGAGCTCCATTAAAGCTGACTGTGCTGATGTGCATTTTCATTTCAACTGCATGAAAGGTCTCTATGTAAATTGCTGCAATCTGCAAGAGCTGTTGTATCTTCTATTGTGCCAGATAAATGAAACTAGGACTGTTTTATATTGCGGTGGGTAGAAGTTAAGCACATCTACAAAATCCGTTTCTTTTGGTTGACCTTGGAAAATGTGGTCCTAAGGGATTTCAGTTCACAATGATGCTCAATAAACAATCAGGAGTGTCTGCCAAAAACTGATCGGAGACTAATCAACATTAATGAGCTCCTTCACCGGTACTTGAGTCAGTCATTATTCCTTGTGCAGGAGAACTGTGACAGGCACAAATCCACAGTATGTATAATGCACTGGCATGGGGAATGCATCTCTCATACTCAGTATCCACAGTAGCTCTGCAGGAGCTGAATGATTTTGTGCAGTAAATGATTGCAAAACACTTAATTTGTTGGACAACCTTTACCCATCTTGTCAGTATATTTGCATGGGCAGTATCACTTTTATTCCATTCCTATAGTCTTATATGTGAATCATTCTGGATTACACAGTGTCTAAAACCATATGATATTGCAAGCCTGGCCCTATTCTTCTGATCAGGTGCATACCTTCACAGTTTAAAACAGCTAGGGAAAGGGGAAAAGATATGAAATTCCACACAGCTGAAGTATTTATGCACTTATTGTACCAAAGCTTTATGCAGATCTTTCAATTATGCAATTAAGCTTGTTTCTTTCTAAAGCTAGCATGTCATTCACATTGCAATATTCTTCAAGTAGAATGTCTCCCTGGCTTAGTGTGTGTTCAAGATAGGGAATTCAAACTAACAACAACGTAACCATCAAAATGTGCATTGCCTGAAGCCATCCTGTAAAAACAATTAATAGTTTTTATCCCCAAAAACTAGAAAGCTCCCCAAAGGAATACAAGTTTCAATCTGGTCTGTCTTTCAGTGGGCTGTAGTGTTCGAACAGCTGTAAAGTTACCCGGTAATAAATGACATACAGTATAGTCTATAAGTAATCCAGTGAACCTATCCTCATATTCAAACTTCTTAATCTTGTGACTTATATTTCTAGGTTAGGGATACAGGGTACTTAATTTACTTTGGATATATTTAACCTTCTCTAATTAAATTTTAAAAAACTGATACAAACCTATTTATTATTGATATTGTTTAACTATATTATTTATATTGTTTTGCAGCTGTAATATTGTTTGCTCACAAAAAAATGTACATGGAGCAATACCATTAGGTCAGGCTTCATGATTTTGTATTTTAACTTTTATTATCGGTATGACAGAATATATATCTCAGCTGGTGAAAACTAATAGAAACTGACTGCAAGTCAACAGACAAGATAATGTCAATCATTCAGCCGTGCCTCTCTCTGTAAGATAATTAAAAAAATCAAGAAAACACATGGCTAATAAAGGATTTAATATATAGCTGGAACACAGCTTAAAGGTATCATGAATTTTTGAGCCCCTTTCTATGGTGAATCTATTATTAGGTCTTAAATGCTTGTGCTCTGAACTGCTTTGACAGGTTAAGCCACTCAGAAAATTAAGCTGCCTGAAGTAGAATGAGGGAGAAAGGATCAAACCTGTCAGAAATATTTATCTTAATATTAAGTTAGAAATCTCCAGTAAAAAAGCGTGCTTTGGCTGCAATTATTTGATTAGCCATTGTTAAAACTGAGAGCCTGAACTTAAATTTTCAAAGATTCTCCTTAAATATGAATTGCCTTTTGTGTAGTTTATAATTGTGTCTTGCCTACAGTACGTGTCCTAAGTAAGGGGTTACAAATTACAATGATTTGATTTTAGAAGGGAAATCTTAGAGGGATGTGTCTTTCGAGTTATCAATCAAACGTGAGAAATGCTCACTGAACGTTTGTAACTTTACTTATACAGTAGAAGCAGAATTAAATCGAAACAGATCGCTACAGATTCCTGTTAGTGAAACCTCATACTGTATCCTAACATTCTGTTCTGTTTGCCTTTGTATTGCTTCCTCTTCTTCAGTAAATGAAGATGGAAACATCCAAGTCTTTTTCATAATTACCTTCTTCTTAAAGTGTTTAGTTTATGTTTTGCTTACCTGAAGACTCTGCACCTGCCTACGCTAAATGTAATCTCCCATTCTTGGGTGTGTGCCCATCCTTGAATTTTGTTGAGATGTTTTTGAAGTACAGTACTGTACCTCTAACAAATTAGTTAAGCAAGAGCTGCATATCTATCCCAAATATATTATAATCAGAGTTTCCTAACTGGTCGCTTTCCTCTGTTTTCCTTGTTCTACTGAATATGTATTTATTCATGATGAATTCGGAACATCAGGAATATCAAAAGGCAATTCTGGGAAAAGCTTTAGATTGGGAATGTGTTTTTAAATCTAGATTTTGGGGGTTGTTCTCATGAGATTTTTTCATATCAGCTGTTTACAATCTTTGTGTTAGCAAATTTGACCCTCCTCGGATCAATGTAGTTTTTTTAAGTCTGGCATCCACAAATCGAAGCTGCTGGCGCTGACAATGTACTGGAACTAGCGTTTGCCATGCAAGTCATGTCTCATGAGAAAGACCACTTTCGAAAGAAACTGACACACCAGAGTATGTGCTTGTGGCCTGTTAATGTGGCCATTGGATACTTCGTGTGACACAAGAGAGTAAAATATTTATGTTGAAACCAGGGTTCTGGCAGAAAAAAAACTGTTTAGCTCAGTTTTAGCAGATGACTATGTTTTCCTTTCCTTTATAATATGAAGGATATAAAAGACTTTCTTCATCATTTACAATGTACATGTATATACATAATGTGTGTACTCATTCAGCTTTTCCCCATCATGAGGTCTTTTGAAATTATCCGCCCAGAATATTGTAAACTTGAAACTAAACAAGTAACTAAAACTTGAAACTAAACAAGTATTAGTACATACAGTATGTTGGCCTTTATTTTGTTACTACTTGTAGCTATGGTTTGCTATCCTGTATTGTTGCCGTGGTGTAATACAGCAGCAAAAAATAAATACATCTTTTAACCCTCCTGCATGCTGATTGCTGTGTATTTTGTTACAAAATACTAATTCTGCGTGTTCTTTCATTCCAGAACGTTTATTACACCAGTACCCAGCAGTTCCATGTAGGTGTCCTGAGCCCCACCATCGATGATGATGACAACAAATGTCTGGTGGATGTCAACAGCAGGCCCAGGCTGATTGAGTGCAGCTATGCCAAAGCAAAGAGGATGAAGCTATACTGGCTGTTTACTCAGGTAAGAAATAGCAGCAAATGAAGCTAAATTGAATATCGACCAGGTGTCAAAAAGCCAAAACCCTATTCAATGGCTATAAAAATTCCAATCATATTTCCAGCGAAGATTTCATGGAAAATAATGCAGACGTTCTAAGTTATTTGGTCCAGGATCATGAAGATTTAAAGATTTGCCTCTGACTCATTAGGATACCACAAGGCACTTTACCGTGATTGTCAGTGAGCTTGACTGTTAAGTACATAAGAAATGTTAAAACTAAGATGTTGGTCGATGTAACTTGTCATTTTGTGAGTCGCTAATTGATCAGAGGATCTCATCCAGACATGTTTTCAAGAACTCTGATCTAACCAATCTATCAGCTTCAACAATACGGCTGGGTAACTAGTTCCCATCTCCCACTGGAATAATGAAAGTGTCTCCTGCTCTCAATTTTAAACGCACTTTGCCTTATTTGCCATTTGTGTCTTCTTGTTTGTGTTTCACTGTTGATTTAGTGTCTCATTAAGAAGACACGTTATTTGCTAACCCATTAAGGGTTATTCAAAGCAAATGAATGAATCATGTTATGTTTACACAAAAGTGTCAAGGAGTCCACATTTGCTTTGAAAACTTTCTCACGCTACCTAAAAATGACGGGGTGTTTTTTCTCCATCAGCTGTAAAGTTGTTTACAAGTCAGAAGGTTTAAATGAGCCAAATTGTAAGGTTTTAAGCTGACATAAATTTCCAGTGGAGATTTCTAGATACTGTATATAAATTCTAAAGCTGTATAATAGCACAGATGCTCAAAGGCACAGTAGAGTCATAAATTAGTCAAGCTAGAATGTAAGTCTGTCAAAACTAATGGCCATGTCAGTGGATGGGATGTAGAAAAACACATTATTCTGTGACTTTGGATAATGCTAGCAGGATGTAACTTAAGACTGCAATTAGATTATAAGTCAAAAATCATATCTCAGGGCAAGACTATGTGGATACAGAGATATCTCAGACATGAATTCAGTTAGACTATTTCTCAAGAAGCCATCTATATTAATGTCAAAGAAGAGAAAATATATTGCATTATTTTTTATCAACCCTTGAAGTGCAGAAGATGGCACCATAAAATAACCCACATGATATGCCCCCCTGACCAAGCAAACAGACATCACTTTGGGCAGGAGGCTTAGACTTAAGTATGTACGTTGGGAATCACTGCTCAAATAAGTGAATAATATTATGTGTAGTACTTCATACTTCTTTAAAGTGCCCCCTTCTTTGCATGTGTGATCGGGAAATTCTACATTTTCTAATAAATCAGAACTGCCCATTATGTTTTGTCTTGCTGACCTGATTTGGAATACCCCTATTTTTATTTACATCTTAGCTACAGCTACAAACACAAAGACCGCACACACGGGACAGACCTGAAGTGTAAAACCGACATGTCACTCTGCCGATTGGGGAGCATCCCTCACAGCCCCACTGCATCCCTGGAAGTGACCAGGTGCCCACAGGCACTGCCGTATCACTGGCAGAGAGAAAGAGCCCCTGCTCACTATTCCCTAGACGTTAGAGTTTGGACTAATGTGCCAGGCTCGAACCCTAGATCGTAGAGCCAAACCTTCACTCAGAAAAGCCCTGTATGCAAGGTATTTAAGGTCCAGCAGGACTGGGTGCATTGCTTTAGACAAGTACAGACTAACGCCCAGTATTGCAGTGATTTAGCTCTGCCTTTTTGGATGCATAACAGTGATTAACAGGTCCCATTTTTGTATTTAACAATGTACTACTATTTAAACATTTTGTGAGCAAAAAAATAACAAACTCTCAAGCAGCACTCATTCAAGAACATTACATTACAAAGGAGAGGAGGAGGCCATCTGGCCCATTTTGTTTGTCTGGCTGTTCATAAGCAATCAGTCCCAAACTCTAATCCAGCCATTCCTTGAGCGATGACACTGCCAACTTTAACAACTTGGCTGAAAATGAGAAAGCAGTGCAATCTTTTTGCTATTTTTGTTTTTACTTTTTACTTCTGACACACAGAAACTAGACCAGTAAATAGTAGAACAGTCGACTAGACCGACCTGAAGAAGTGCGATACAAAAATGATTGATTGTAAAACACTCCACAGTCTGGCGTCTTACACATGTAAAGTCATTTTAAATAACTTGAGAACTAGAAGTTAAGATTTGAGATCTGCGAAATTGATCTCTCTCCCTCGACTGGAATAATCATTAAATTAATCTTTTCAGCTGCATATCTGGTATGTTTTAAAGCAGTTTATTGTTAACCACAAATATTACATACATTTTAGCTGTGCCATGAGATCAGCAGATTTCAGGTCTCGGTTTTCAACAAATGGTTTTGCACGGATTCCATTATTATTTTATGCAAATAACAAAGGGGGCAGCACCAGATTATTAATTCACTGGAGGATGAAGCTATTATTAAGAAGCATGCCTTTCTCTGAAAATGCTGTAACTTCATCAGAGAGTAGCCATTTTCTTAGGCTGAAGAATATGCCTTACAATTCGTCCCATCAGAGACAGGTGCGCTGTAGCAGAACTGATGAACGCTGACATGCAAACTATCACTGCAAGCCTCGCCTGGCACACAATTTCGAAACCGCTGCCTACTGCCTCGCGTGGAGTCACTGCAGAAGCTACTGATTTAACAAGCAGCTCCCCCCTCCAGTCAGAAGCTCTCTATTACACAGAATAAAACAGAGGGTATTATTACAGAACATTTCTTCTCTCACGTGGCAACGATCTCTCTTTCATTCACTGAAATCCATCTGTTTTCTAACTTCGCTTCGAAGCGCCACGCGTTCCTCTTCCTCCCTCACACCCTTGATGGGTCAAGCTCCCAGGCCTGCAGAAATGTGAAAACATTTCTCACCGCCTCTGAAAACGGAGCATGTTGGGCCTGCAAGCCACTATCGCGTCTTCACCTCCCTTAATGCAATCCTGATGGCGCCAAACCAGAGCAATTTAATCTGTGCCAGGATGTGACCGCCTGAACATATGTTACTTCTGCTCTTTTTTTTTCCAATTTCTTTATTTTGCTGGTCATGCGCAGGCCCACACACCGGCTAAAACTGTATGGACCTCTTGGGGAATTATCAAAATAAAAAATCCTTTAAAGCTGGATTTTTTTAATACGGGCTGTGGGATGTCTGGTTCTTAAAAACATAACATAAACATCATCCCACATCTAGCATTGTAAACTGCCAATACTAACAGTAGTTATGGTGGATCTTTTGTTCAATGTTTAAGATTTTATAATTACTTGTAATAATTACAGACCTAATTTACCTGAGGAAAGTGATATCTTGCAAAGAGGTCTTCTGTCAAAAAAGATTAAAAATTCCTGCTTTGTAGAACAAATGTGAAGACAGCACAATTTTTAAAGTCACTACAAAAACCTTAATTTTAAAAGTCAACAATCAATTTGAGCATATATGGTAGCAATAATTATTTACACGTATAGTAAGTATTAATTTCATATGAAGGACATTCAGCTCCCTGAGGAAATGAAGTTATTAGAATATTACCTCAATTGCTCTCAAAATATACTAATTTAAAATACCGTGCAGGTATGTATTAAGAATAAACCCCTGCTGCCCTGATTTCGAAGAAGCAGTTAATGGAAGGATTAAGAATAATAATAAGAATAAAATGGTGTGGTGCTTTCCTCCTTTTATGTACTTTTGGATGCACTGCGTTGTCATCATCTTGTCGCTTTGGAACAGTTTCTTTTGTTAAGATATGTTCCTGAAATGGGTTTTAGAACTAAAAGGAAAAATAACATTTGATATCTGCAGGACTGTTATATGGTAACTGGGAAATGCGTTTCAAGTGAAAGGTTTTTGCACATTGTATTACCAGCCATTCATTACAGGAATGGCAGGGACTGTGAAAAACTTGCTTCAGAGCCACAGCAGGCCTCTTAAATGGTCAAGATAATTTCACAGAACATTCAGTTAGTTGCTTTCATGATCATTATTATATTTACAAAGTATGGCCCGTGTACTGTAAGAGGCATCTCAAGAACTGTGAAGGTTTTGTTTTAAAGTTCAAATCCTCTTGAGGTAGTTTTATAATCAACGTCTGAGGCAGGAAATGGTACGAAAGGTAAAGTTAAGTGTGAATCACAAAGTGTTATCAAAATAATATTTTCTTTTTACTGAGATGGCCTGGCATCCTGTCCAGGGTCTGTCTTGCTTTGCAGCCACTGCTTGCCTGGTTAGCAGTCCAGCTTCTCACTGGGACTGTGTACTGGATAAGCCGATAAGAAAAAAAAGAAGAATGTTCTTTTTAATTAAATTAGCTCACTTTTGGAAACTTACTAGAGGCTCAACCAGTAGAGCACATGGTCTGAGCACTTACTGAGCTCCCAGATGCTACTAGTTTAAACCTGGATCGGGTGTGGCCAGGATTCCCCAAGCTACAACTCAGAGCAAGTGCTTGACTGTTGGGGGTGAGGAGTATCATGAATACTCCATGCGAGAATCATGCTTTGGGGCTGCTTTGCTGCCTCAGTACTTGGATGGCTTGCCATCATTGATGAAACCATGAATTCAGCATTGCTTCGGCAAATTCAGGAGGAGAATGGCAGGTCATCCATTCATCAGCCGAAGCTGAGCTAAAAGGGGGTCTTGCAGCAAGACAATGATCTTAAATATACAAGCAGATCTAAAACAAAAATGGCTGAAGAAGAAATTTTGCAATTTGGAAGTGTCAAAGCCCAGACCTAAACCCCATTGAAGTGTTATGACAGGACCAGAAGTGAGCTATTCATGGAAGAAAGCTCTCAGATGTCACTGACTTGAAGCTGTTCTGTAAGGAAGAATGGGTCAAAATTAATTAAATTTGATGTGCGACTTTGATAAACAGTTACAGGGAACATCAAGTTGAATTCTTTGCTGCTCAAGGAGGTACCACCTGTTACTGAATTTGTTCACAGACCTTTTCACACAAATATACTTATTGTTGGATTATTTTTTTAATTACATAATCCAATATTTTATGTCTTTTTTTGTTATACATTTGTCTTATCCTAATTGTCTTAATGGTTTATAATATAAAGCTTATGAAGATCTAATAACTTTGTAAGGCTAAAATACACAAGAATATATTTAAGAAATTATCATTTTCTTAATGGTGGTCAAATGGAATGGCACTATAAGACAAACCAAGCTTGAGATAACTCTAAAAGTGATGTTTAAGTGTAACATCTCCATAAGGTCATCTGCAATGGATTTTATCTTGCGTTTGTACAGTGAGCTATGGTAATTCAGATGTACTGGCATTATCCCAATGCAATAAGCTTCACCACATGGTACAGGTGGTCCACACTGGATAGTGCATTTCTGACAAACTACCACTGGGTCTTTAATAAGAGTCCTTATGGGTAAGGAATATTTGGGTTATCATACAAATTTTATTTTTCTAAACACCCACATATAAGGTATTGTATCCTGTAGTTTTTATTTTGTAAATGTTCATCATTACCAAGGCATTCTATAGATAGAAAAAACAATTATTTGTTTTATTTAGGGATGAGCCAATTTAGTACAGGGTCAACTGAGAGTTTTACACATATGTACTGAGCACAAGCACAAATCACATTGTGCATCTCCCTCTTGGCTTGGCCCTGGAGCACCTACCACTGCATTTAGAGTATGGTCTGACCTATTCATTTTATACAAGGAATCTCCTCGTTGATATTAGCATAGAAATATGCTCTTTGTGATACTGTAGTTCGCAAGTGCAAAACAATCCTTATAATAGTATCAGAGCTTTCATTCATTAATGACTCTCGCTTCCTAATTGGATTCATTATCTTTATTTAACATCAGAGAATTCCCCATATGCAAAAATATACAGAACACAGAGGTTAATGCGCTGGAAAGGAAGACTACAAAGGCCATTTGATTATCAATTATTTCTGGTTTGTTAGTTTACATGTCTATACTCCCTTGCTGTTTCACCCAAAAGAACATAACTCTAGGAAAGAGGTGTGTTAATACTATACAAAGAGCACCGATTTTTTTTTACTATGGGAAACACACCCATAAGGATTATCTAGCACTAACAACTGTTTTATTTTTTTTTAAAAAGCTCTTTTGAGATATACAGTACTGTATGTAATACTGTGTTGGGCTGACAGATATTAATTACATAGGCTGATTCATCCAAACTTTTAATTTAAATCTCCACACCTTTGACCAGACACTGTGAGGCTCTTTGACGATGACTCAGGTGTGCCACAATTATATTTTTTGTGTCATTTAGACCTATTCTTTCTAGAACACTTATTAAAAAAAAATCAAGAGAATAAAAAATATAGTTTATCTATACAGAGGGCTATGCTTCTCAAAATATATTTACATTCTTGAGACAAAAAAGAAAGAATGGAATAAAAAGCTAATTCTTTTTAAGTCTAAATCTCCAGGGTGGAAAGGCTTTCCAATCTCAAAGACATACTGTAGAAGGGTTTTGAAGCTGTTTTACTTTCTAGCTCATTAAAACTCTGAACAAGAGGGCTCTTAAAAGACAAATGAGAACTGACAGCAAACAAGCAAGAGGTATGAACAGTGAACAGCCTAAACTGTAGGTGTTAAAGACAAAACTGTGTAAAATCTGTTAATTTAATCTGTGCATATATTCTCCTTAACATTGGCTTTTGATGGCTAAGATGGAAGATAAGGCTACACAATGAATCAGATGTTTTCACTTTTTCCAGGTGGGGCTACACTTCAATAGTGAACACAGTGTCCCCTCTTAAGTGTGAAGATGCTTTGAGATAAATAATACTGTATGAATGCAATTAATTTTATTCAGTTATGAAGTTTTTATTGCTGTTATTCATACTGTAAGTGAAGTGTGACACTGAAAACAATAAGGCCACTCTCTTGGTAGTGATTCTTTCTATGAAGAATTCAGGTTTCACGTTTTTTTATAGCTTCTTTTCGTACTGAGATTATGAAATGAGGCATGGTTACAGTACATTCTCTGAGAGTTTGGCACTCTCCATTTGCTCCCCTTAATTCCAAGAGACAGACGTGGCATCTTTTTTAGCTGATGAATAAATGCGATGAATGGATAGTAATGATTTTTCAGATTTAATTTGAGCTGATACTCCATCTTCAGAAAAAAAAAATACTTTTAGAATATATGATGCATTATAACTTATTGAACTTTCTAAAGAAAGAATGTTTCGCACGATCAGGTCTGCTGTCGTGAAGTCATGAAGTATAAGTCAGTTAACTGTGTAGGTCTGATGGTGTAGCTCAAGGGCAGTCCAGTGACATGGTGGTTGTCATTTTGACCTTACAGCTTCAGGACCTGGGGTCCAGTTCTAACTCAAGCTTCTTGTCTCTGTGGACTTTGCATGTCCAACCCCATGTTTGCATGGGTTTAAGCCAGGTGCTTTCTTCCCAGCTACCAAAGACACACAGACTCAACCTTATTGCCTACTCTAAACCAACAGTTTCTGAGGGTGATATTCACAGGTTTAATTTTAAAGAGTTGTCTATGTAAGTATGGAGAACAGAACTGAGGACAATGGATCAAGTGACCTCCTCTCAGGCTCTTTCTGATATTCTCTACTCCAGTCAAAGGGAGTGTGACTTTGTTGCAGTAGCCATCAGTTTCGTCATGACTTCTAGCTGAATAACACAAGAATCTAAAACCTTAAGTGCCTTTTCTTGCTCAAGGTGTCTAAAACATAACCCAAAACCCATCGCTGTCATGTCATATCATAACCCATAGATTCAGTTGTGATGAAAAGGAAAAGATGCATCAGAGACACTTTTCTCATGTGTAGGAATAATGTAAGATGTTCAGATGTCATTCCTACTGTAAATCAGTCATAATGAATAGGAACCTGCATACTTTATACTTTGAAGCATACTTAAGAAAAACATCCTACCCTTTGGTAAACAAATTACATCACAATCATTTCAAAACTCAGTCTCAGCTGGCAGTGCACAGTGATGATACTCAGCCTGCAAGTGTTTTTCAGAAGGGATAAAGCTAAAATCAAACAGCTGCCATGGTTTGAGGGCTTCTAGTACTGTGGAGACGGAAGATAACTGGGAGCCAAGCTTAAGGTGTTTAGTTTCAGAGAATTACAGTTGCAAATGGTGCAACTGTCATGCTATGCTATGAGCACATCATCAAATAAAGGGGAATTAACATTTGCTGGATGAAACTGCCCAGTCGGCTAGGGGAAATGCAAAGAGTTCATGTGCCTGAGACTAACAGCTGTTCAAATCGCTGGGAACTGCCTTCAGGTCATGCTTTTATGTGTCAGCCACATGGAGTGGGTCTTTGAACAGAGATGAAAATGGAGAGGGTTAAAATAAGGAACTAGAACTTCAACCCTCACATCAGAACTCCAGAGAAACATCTTTTATAGTGTGTCTCAAGACATCTGCTAGAATATTTTGTACTTAATTTCTTATTTTACGTTCTTTTGTGCTCACCTGTTTTATTTTATTCCAAACTGTACACACTGAAAAAGTGACCCACAACAAACATTTTGCCCTTTTGCATTTAAAAGGTTATGCCATGAGGTTTAGAACAAAGGTCATTTATGTGGTGAGGAAATGCCCAGTGGAATGTTCTCACAGATCTTGTCCTTACATTGATACACACACAGAAACCTCTGATTTTCCATTAATTCCAACATGATGGACACACACAAAGATATACTACTGACTTCACATGTCAAAAAGGGGGTTCAACAGACAACTCGAAAAAGTAGTAATAGAAGCTCAGACAGACAGGCCTCCTGCTGGGCACACTTAGAAGTCATACGCCGGAGATTAAACGACGACTCTAGCACTCATTGCCTGTTATCTGGTATATTTCATAAATGTAATCTTGCATGTCTAATGTTTACAGTTAAGATCCCTTGAAAAACAAAAAGAAGCTGAAACTGTAGACTAACCCAGAGTATTACAGAGATCGGTGAAGCCTATTTTTGTATTCTGTTTCCTGCACTCTGTTCCTGAATCTCCTGAATTGGCTTACGTAAACCATTAATATTACAGTTATGTGGTATGGTATATAATCAAGCAGCTGTCTTAAACCAGCGAGTGACCAGAAATTACAGGTCATTGCATTCCTCCAGCATTCATATTGATCCCAAGTTTAAGATTCTCAAGTAGATCATTGCACAAATTTCTTAATATTGTTTTCTTAATTTGTCATTGCAAATTGTATTTATCATATACCCACCCGTTTCCAGAACACTTGCAATGACTTAGGCAAGAATGGGGCTTGTAAACATGCTCCTCCACCGTGCCACCTGTTAAGCCATTTGTCACTTGCCATGACACAATCTCTCACAGTGGCTGGCAGGAGAGAGAGCACTGATAGAGCAGAATGTCTCTCACTGCCTCATCACAAGTCTGCAGGCACTCAGCAAGCCACTGCTGCATCCCAGACAGCTGAGAGAGCCCTATCCCAGTGACACTCAGACAGTTGTGCACGACCATTTGGTGTATCCCTGTACCAGCTAGCAAGTGCCATTACCCAGGTGTGAACTAGCGATGTCTGGGCCATAGAGCTCAACATGGCTCTTTGAGCAAATAACTTCCTATTTCAGTGCTGTCCTAAACTAAGGTCCTGATGACTTAATCACCAAAGTTACTAAGCCCAGCATCCGTGTTAAACTCCACTTTGGGCTGCTACAATCTGGCCTCCCTAACGTTCGCTTCTAATTTAGCTGGTGAAACAGTTTCTCACTTCTCCACTAAATCTGCTGTGGTGTAGAATGACTGCCGTGCACCACAAACAACAACAATAATAATACACAGTCTAGCTTTGTCGAACCCAAACACCAAATGTTATTTTGTTAGTGTCAAATGTTTCTAAAGCACACCCTTTATGTGGAAGAATTTTTAATACTTCTGTTTTTTTTTTGTCTTTTAGGGAGGTTCAATTCAGAACAGGAAATCAAAAAGGTGCCTAGAGCTGATGGAAACTAGTGACAACGAATTTGGATTCCAACTTGTGCTCCAGAGGTGCTCTGGTCAAAGATGGACAATCACTAACGTCTTATCAGGAGCAACTCTGTGATGGAATCTTACCTCATCTGAGCGAACGATTGCCAACATACAGCACTGGAAAGGGTTGAAAAGAGAGAGGGTACTCTCTGCTGTTTATGCCTTTTAAACACATTTTTATTTTTGAGAAAACAAAGAAGATGTTAATCCTATCATGTCAAAACAAGAAATTTACAGCATCTTGATGTCCTGCTTTTTTACTTAATGACATCATGTGATGAATATCAAGCTTTTTTTCAGGATAAATGTGTTTATAAATCAGATATTAAAAAGAACTCCCTAATGCATATTTCAGAATATATTGTGCAAAGAATCCATAATTACAGTATGTGTTGAAGTCCTTATCTGAGGGTTATACACTTCGCCCTATTCTGTTCATTCTTTACTTGATACATTTTTGCTACTGTGTAGCAAACATTTACATATTTTCCTGCTGTATTTTATTTTTCTTCTAGTGTCTCAGGTTTGTAGAGTAAGTTTATTTTGAAATCAAGCTGTATGGTTATAAGGAAGTGCTAACAGGCTGGATTATGTCAGACTCAAGATTTTTTCTAAATGTAAATATGGGTAAAGTTCAATCTATTTATAATATCTGAGAGTAAAAAAGAGGAGTGAAGCAGACATCTGTGCTTATGTGTGTTTTTTTTTACTACTGAAAGCTGTCCTTCCATTTTTAAGGGAGGAAAGACAATCCTTAGCAAACATCATATGAACTAATGAGAAAAACAAGCAAATGGAAAAATATTGCTAGTAAGTTATTCCACATGAGAGATAATGGATCAATTCAGGTTTGTTTTTGTGACTTAATGTCCCATGCCTCTCTGAATAATGATTTATTATTTATTAAGAACAGAATAAAACAGCTACATGAGGCATTCAAGTGGGACCGTACACTCCATTTGTTCTTTGTTTATTAAGTTTTTAAAGCCGGCTGACAATCCTAAGCTTCAGCAAGAAATGTAATTATTTTTCCATTTAACTTGCATGGGATATTGTAGCTTTGCATGAAGCAGAGCTGCTGTTCTTTGACAATAGCAGAATATCAACTACTGCCAAACAAACTGAGTGAGGCACTTTGAACACATCTGCTATATTATCAAGGAAACCTCTTTCAAACTCTCTGTTGCTAACAGAAAACTCAAACATTGCCATTTCTCGTCAGATACCTCACGTCATTATAAAGCTATTATCTGTTTTTCCTCACTGCGTCAAGCACCTCAGCTCAATCAGGACAAGTCAAAAATGTACTTGGAGTTAAAACAAGAAATGTCATGACAAGTTACTAGAGTGAAACAACGGAAAAACATTCACTGACAAAAATTACTAGGTGGAAAACCTTTGATGATGACTTGTATAAAGGGCGGATTAACCCTCCAACCTAAACAAACAAGAAAGCTTGAAATTCATGTGTTGATAGATCGCTTAATAAATTCTATTGAAAACACAACCTACAAACATAACTTATCAACTCTTGGTGTGTCCACATTTAGTCATATGCATGCCATTAGACATACAGTATAGTAATCAAAGATCAAATGAATGGTCCCATAATCTGTCTGTAAAGCAAGTGCTAAATTGATTTTTACTTGCTGGTGGCTGGTGCTCATGTGTATATCTACCTAGCTCCCCCTCCTGGTTGTAGGCAAGGTTGCCCTGATGCCCTAATGACCTTCACTTTGTGACTTTCTGCAGTCGAGAAACTCATGCTTTCTAATAGTATCATACTCAAGCAGTTTATTCAGTTAGCAGTTAGTTGTGACATTTATAATATGGTTTAAGCATTTCTTACGTTTCCAGTGAGTTTCCGCATATGAATACTGCATAGAAAATTGTGTTATAATGCTTATAAAACAATTTGTAAGAAAATGCTGAAAATAAAGGCACCACTGAAACATCACCACCCCCATTCACCTTCATCTGTTTTCAATACTTGTTCAACCTTATCTGAGTAATGCATTCCACATTGAAGTCTGGAGGTTTAAGGCCTGCAGAATACTTCACACAGACTTCTCCTCACATAATAACTGTGCGGTGCACCAAGAGTTATTCCTTAGACAAGAAATGTGCTTGGTCAGTGCACAATTCAGCAATCTCAAAGCATTTACTCAGGCACACCTGTGATGCAGTGACATATTAAAACTTCATTTATTTGCCGTTTCAAGTGTGAAAAGGTATTCTATAAAAAATGCCAATCCTGCCATAAATCTTTCACATCACAGATTATCACTGGAGGAAAATGCTGTGCATTCTACTTCTGACATGTCAAACATCATTGAGTTCATTCAATTTGCTTTCAAGAAGGTATTGCACATTATAAAATATGCATAAAATTGAACTTTCAAATGTTCTGTAATAACCCGAAACAGTATAAAAAAGTTATTAAAAATAGTTTTTCCATTCACATGCACATACTGTATGAAGTTTCCTAATCAATTCAATAATTGATTCTGAAATTATATGTTCTGTTAAAAAAATGTCAGATAAAGAGGTTTTTGAATATATTGATATACAATTAAAGACATATATTAATATAGCCTTAGGCTTTATTCACATTCAGATAAAGATTTAAATACTGAGCTTATACTGTAGGTGTATTTTAGTAGTAGTGTTTATGCACATGATTTCATAAAACTGCCAAGCACTCAGTGTTGATATTTGTGATGAAATAAACTGCCAAAATGAGTTGAATATGTGAAATATGAGCAGCCCAGAGTTACAATTTACACAAAAGTAATGTAAAGTAACCAGAATTCCCATGTTTGTCATTTGTTTTGGGGCAATTCTGAAAAGAACACAGTTAATTAACATGTATAAATCATATGACGCTGATCACAATACTAATTATAAGTATAGCAGGAGCATATACAATATCAAGGCAAAAGCAAAAAAAAAATATGTTCATCCTTGGTGCATGCTAACTTTTCTTTCACATTAAAGTTGATACCTGTCTTATCTTGACAGCAATGCTCCTTCTGCAGTTTTTGGCACATCCCTTAAACTTTGTTATTGGTATGAGATTTTTATGCCTCTCTAACCTCAAGGAGAGGATTTCTTATTAGAACACAGCCAGAGGGATCCAGATTCCGTTACCATAACAACTACTTATAAAGATACTTGATGAGACGGGCACAAATCCCATATCTTATTCTGTCACACTCTTCAAGAATAGCAATACAAAAATAATAGAACCTTCTTCAAAGAGAATGGAGCAGCATTCACATAGCCTGTATGCAAGAAAATAATTGTTTCAGCCATAATTTTATGCATGTTCTCTAACACCTTTTCTTCTAAGTCAAATAAAAAAATGAAAATCATTCCAAAACTGAACTCAGCAGCTTACTGTAATCAATTTCCCAATTTAAATTAGTTCAGCGTTTTAGCAGTTCCTTGTTCTGTATGTAAGTTATTAACCAATTAGGCAAATACAAAGATGAATACCAGATTCAGCTTAGAGGAATTAGATTTCTCATTTGCTGAAGTATGAGCAAAATGTATCATTTTGATGGTTCTGCATATTTTGAAATAGTTCATGGAGATTACGTGACAGAATCTAAAAGACTAAACAACGATTATTACCTCGTCATGCAGCTACTTCGAAAGTAAGCTCATATATTTCACAAATACCCTGGTGATTGTTGATTAATACAAACCACAGGAAATCTTGAATTATGACATTTTAAATGCAAAATTTAGAACTATGTGTCAGCTGAGCTGATAGGTGACAAACTTATAGACCTTAAATATTATGCAAGAGATTTGTCTTTCGTGCTATTTCACAAATTAAAGCGCTACATACAGTAATGTTTTGATTTCCTCACCATTCAACCACAGAAGTTTGAAACAGATTTCAGAAAAAGAATCTCAGACCAATATATAGTAGTGCTTCAAAGGGTGATTTAAGGGTCACTCAGGTCTTAAGACAAAACCAAGCTGATTAAGCTGATTCAAGCTGATTCATTCATCAGAAAGCAATTAATCCTGTCCACAATTCCACATTCCCTAGCATACATTTATTTTATGAATTAAACATGTTTTCACAGCAGGAAATGACAGGTTTTGACTGGCACACTGGTGAAGCATTATGTAAGACCCAACTTTCAGGAAGATTTAGCATAAATCTTTTTGTGGGATTTGTACAGCTAAGCAAACTTTCCAGTATCTGATGCTCAACATAAATGTGTGATTGCTCCTGTAACTAAAAAGGTGCCCATCGTTTGACCAGTCTTCCAGAGCTGTTCAACTTGATGAAAATACAAATAAGTGAAAATAACTTTTCTTTGAAATTGCAAAGAAAGTCCATTGTGTTGTATTTGCACTTTGCAATGGAATGCTAATGGAGGAATCTTGCAGAAGAGGTGAATTGCACAAGAATAAAGAAATCTCAGTGGGAGGGTTTAATCTGCCTGTGCTTTTATCTTTCATAATAAGTACAATCTGCATGTAAACATATAATATGCACATGATAAGAATAATTTAGCATACGCCTTTATTTAAAACTATGCATGGAGCCTACTGGGCACACCATACTATACATCAATAGCCTTGCCCATGATCCAGCAGCCAGTTATAAATGGTACACCTTACACATAAATCATCATCTCATATCATATCCTGCATCTTTGTGTTTGCAAGAGGCCTCTTCCTTTAACCCAAAGGTAATCTGCCATCAAACACAGTCGCCTTTACTGTGAGATGGTAGAGATGGTAAAATAACTTTCTTCGGGTGGCACAGCACAACAAACCCATCTCTAATGTGTTACAGGAAGCTTTCCTGATTACACGCAAAAACAGGCATTCAGCCCAATCTTTTCACAGTAAATTCTGTAACACTAATGTCTTACAAATGGAAGAGTGTCTTACTCCTGCAAACACCATGTTGTGTGGCAGGGTAATGGTTAGAGGCTGTTTAATGAGGTGACAGATAATAGCTCCAAGCTTCTTGGAGATATCTGCCACAATCATATTACAGTAATACACACAGAGCGGCAAAAGCAAGTCTTTTACTGTCAAAATGCTACTGGGAAGGAGTTGACTGAGCTAAAAAGAAGGTATGACTTTATAGCTGCACTTTTGACTTCCAGTACTTGAGATGCAATTTCAGGATGCAGGCCTAGAATCATTTTAATAAACCAGCTTTTCACCTATTGTCCTTATTTGTCTGGCTGTTTTAATATCAAATCTACTGAATTTTCTAAACAACTACCTTACATGATTCATTTCCTGTTATAGTTTAGGGATATTTAATTGATGCTGACGACTAAACAGAATTCAGCCAAAACGTAAGACATTTTCTCAAACCCAGGTGACTGTCTGGACCCACGGTATTTAATAAAGGACATCTATAAAAGAAGTGGCAGCTGGATTCATAAAGGCAAATGTCAGATAGGTGTTATGAAGCAGATATTATATATGAATCAGATATTAGATTTGCAGATATTAGAATCTAATAAGGGCCACATAAATGACAATTGAGCTTTGGGTGAGTCAACAAGGTCAAATAAAGGATTGATCACTAAACATGGACTCAATAACAGAGCTAGTAAATTCACTTCAAATACTTTCTAATGACCTTTCAAATGATCACTTAAAGTTGTTGAGTTTGACATGGTTTTAACTTCCAG